CTTGCAAAAACTTACACATCCAGCAGAGGGGAGCTCCTGTCAGCCCCATGTGGCCCAGCTTGAAAACAATCGCCATGTGTGATGCAGAAGCAAATGCTCTGTGTAGATCCAAAAATGCAGCCAAAGGGAACTCCCAGCACTCAAATGAAGTGTGCATGAGCTGTGTAAATTGAAGCAAAGGGTCGAGTGTGGATCGACCTTCTCGGAAGCCACTCTGGTTATCAGGTAAGAAGCCATGTTCCTCAGTCCACCAAGAGAGATGGGTAGCCACCAGTCATTCCAGCACCTTACCCAAACAGGGCAGTAAAGCAATTGGTCGGTAAGAGCCTGGTTGGGTATCACCCTTGCCTGGTTTTAGAATCGGAACTAGGAGAGAGCGCTTCCACACATCAGGGAAGACACTCATAGACCAGCTGGCATTGAAAACCTCCAGCATAGCATCTGTACAAGAGGGAGGTAGATGTAGTATGAATAAGGTAAGTTATCCTCCCCTGGAGAAGAGCAGGAAGAAAGCTGGGAAAGTGCCCACTGCAGTTCATGGGAGCTAAAGGGAGATGCCAGCACCTGGCAGTGAACCTCGGGTACAGAAGGTGGCAAAGGGCCACATATGATCACCTTAGAGGGTAGAGGAGGAGGAGCAAACATAGGACAAGAAATTTGCAAATGACTCAGCCTTGTCCCAGAGTAAGAGTGGAGCCTCTCCTTCCCCCAACAGGGGAAAAGTATTTACAGAACGTGATCCCAACATAGAGTGGAAAAAACCACATGCCTGACTAGCAGAGGTGCAAAAATAAAGAGAAGAACAGAATAAAGCCCAAGATGCACGTTTCGCTTGGAGGAGGGTTCACTGACAAAGAGCGTCTGCACTTCGGTAAGCCAGCTGCTGAGTCGGAGAGGGTTGGCGCTGCCACCGTGCCCATGCTGTCCTACGCGCCTTCACTGCTCGGAGGCACTTACCATTCCACCATGGAACCCGGGGGTGTGAATGGGTGAGCCCGCCTCAAGCATGGCCCCTTTTTTTGAAGAGACGTGACAGCCTCATCCAGCAAGGAGTCCTGAGGCAGGCTATAATCAGAGAGGACCCAATTATAGTTTGTCCAGCCGGCCTGGGTGGTTTTCCACCGTGAACAAACTGCCGTCACTGGAACTGCTAAGGCTCCATTTGTAGAAGTAAGGACTGGAGATGATCACTCCCCATTAAGGGACCAACAGTAACAGCAGCTGTAGTAAAACACCCACACCCAAGAACGAGGTCTAGGGTAAAAACTCGCCTGGTATAAAGATCCACTCTAGTCTCCAAACCTGGTGGTGAGAGCAACGAAAGGTGAGATGCGAGGAGGGTTTGGAACAGGGGCCTACCTGTGGGATTCGCCGATCCCAAAGAAATGGATGGCTCCCAAAACTGGTGCCTAGCATTAAAGTCTCCTATCACAAGTGTAGAACCACGGAGTTGCCCAAAGTAATAGGTAAATTCACTTTGTGTAACCGACTTGCCTGGATTATAGATCAGGAGTATGTTACTCCACTGAGTGCCCAAGGCAACTCTCACAGCCAGAGTTTCCAACACTCCACTCTCATAGGCTTGGAGAGAGAGGGTCGTACTCTGGAGCCGGTTGCATACAAGAAGAGCTAGGTCACCACCGCTCCCTGTGAGGCGATCCCTACGGTAAACAGTAAAACCAGGCACCCGAAGAGAATGTTGAGGACATAACCATGTCTCAGAGAGACCCACCACCAGTGGCTGTACCTCAGCCAGATACTTCTGAAGGTCCGGAAGCTTCCCCAGCACGGAACGTGCATTCCAAAGAAGAAAAACAGAGGAGTGAGAATGATTCACGTGTGTGAACTAAGTAGCCCAATAAGGCGAGGGAGAACCGAGACCTGCAGTCGCAAAAGAGGTGCCCTGAAGGTAGGAATGTAGCACCTCCTCCACCAGAAGGAGAACAGGATGAAGGAATAAAGCCCAGGCAAGTGAGAGTGAAGAGGCGGGACCTTCAGACACAAAGGGTCGTGGAATAGGGACAGGCCAAGGCTGGGGTTGAGGAGAATTGGGGGCAGTCGGCTGAAAAATGGGAGGCTCCGGGTGGGGTAAGATGTCCACCAGAACTGGGTGGGGTACCGAACATCGAGTCAATATGGAAACTGCACCACCTCGACGGGAGGATGTGCATTGTGAATGAGGAGGGGCATGGGCAATGACTTCCGCAATGGAAGCCAGGTCCGAGGACACCCTGAGTTGATGTTGCCCCGGGGGTGGGGAATCCTCTAAAGGGAGAGAGGTCTGCAAGAGCCCCAAACCAATTTGTAACAGGGACATTAGCCCTCACAGCTGTGGAGTACAGGTGCCCTGGCCGTGTTGGTGCTGGGGAGACACCCTTAGTGGGGGGCACTGGAGGCGAAGGAGGCAAGGGCTGATAGACTATGACTGGCTTTACAGACCACAAGCAGGAGTTACATTCATCGAGCAAAAGAGACTGGGCCCTGGCTGAGTTTGCCAAATCAAGAGCCTGGCGATATGCCGGGCGAGACTGGGACGTAACCTTGTGGTTCCCTTTACAGAAGTAGCATGAAGCTGGGTGGGTACAGGTATTGCCGTCTTTAACGACTGGGTGAAACCCGCTGCAGTTTGCACATCTTACCTTACCACGGCAAGACAATTTTCCATGCCCATAAAGGAAACATTTCCATCACTGGAGTAAAGGAAAAGTATAAGGAAGAACAGGAAACTTTAGGTTGCCAAAAGTCACAGATCTTGGGAGAGCACCTGAGAAACATACACAAACCATACGAGATGGGGCAGGACGATTCGAGAGGCCCCAAACCTCCCACAACCCTAAGTCATCACCCCTGCTGTAAACCAGTTCAGAGTGGATCTCCTCATGTGAGAGGGATGCAGAAATCGGTCCAATTCTGCCGTAACAACAACTGGCGACGAGGATTGAGGAACGGACCTCCCAGCAGACAACATTCCACCTACCCAGGACATGAATGGCATTTAGTGGTAAGTTTCTAGCTAGAAAAGACTTACGATGGAGCCAGAGCCTTAGGGCTGCACCCCTACCGAGTTGCTGGACACCCCCATCTATGCAAGCCTTGCCGAAAGGAGATCCATTGATGGTGTTGATGACGCCCCGTGGATTGGTGAAGGGTGTGCCGCCATCCTTAGGATGCACAAGAACCACCATCACATCTGGAGCAATTCGAGGAGGAAAAGGAGCATAGTCAGGACAAGTGGTTGGTTGGCATTTTAGGGTAGACAGGGGCCTGGCACTGTCATCAACCTCAAGGGCCCGTTTGTTTATCCCAGTAGGGGGCACACTAGCCATATCTTGGTCCGGCAAATATGAAACAGTTGTCAATTGAGTAGGGACCAGAGGGGGTCCCCCCCATGGGGCGAACGACATCTCGGTCGAACCCCCCCTAAATGGGCCACACAACACCACCTGATAGAGAAAACAATGACAACACAAGCACACAAGAAAAGAAAGATGGTAAAGCAGAGCTTAAACAGGGCCTACACCACCAACAAACAACTGAGGAGCCTTCAGAAGACACATCCACATGCCACCAATGCCCGAGCTCTTTCTTTCTGCTGACAGGTTCACTTCCAAATATCTGAATGCATTCACTTCCTCTATACTACCTCCCTCCAATCTGATATCCAATCTTTCATTACCTAAATTATTTTATTATCCTTATCACCTTGCTCTTTCCTATATTCACTTTTAATTTCCTTCTTTTGCAGACCTTTCCAAACTCGTCCACCAACCTCTGCAACTTCCCTTCAGAATTTCCCAAAAGCACAGTGTCATCAGCAAAAAGCAACTGTGACAACTCCCACTTTGTGTTAAGATTCTTTATCTCTTAATTCCACACCTTTTGCCAACACCTGAGCACTTCTTTTACAACTCCATTGTATAGTAAACAACCATAATGACATCACACATCCCTGTCTAAGGCCTACTTTTACTGAGAAATAATCTCCCTCTCTCCTACATACTCGAACCTGAGCCTCACTATCCTCAAAAAACTTTAAGCACAAATTCTGCTGGATTATTTGCAATAAGTGGAAAATGCATGTTTTGGTCAGCTTTAAACTTAGTGCTTATGTGTTTTCCTCAACGAAAGCAATATCTTGATGTTAGGCTGAGTAAGTTATATGTCAATTTTATTAATCAAATTAGTATGTGAAATGGAGGAAGTTTCCTATCAGAAATAAGTCAGTGTTTGACTTTATTTGGTTATTCTAGGTCAAATCAATTTTATGTTTTTTTGTGTGTATCTATAACGTCTGTGTCCTCAATACCATTCTTAAACATTTGAATTTTATGTATACTAGGCTTACATAAAACTTTCTTAAGTGCTAGCCAAACTTACTTAGAGAAAAGTTTGGACTAATTTTAGCCTGCGTAGGTCCCAGTTCGTTTTTTTTTTTTTTTTAAATGGAAAAATTGAAACTACTTTTCACACTATAATTTGTGAGTGCCACATCTGATTAGCTTCAAGCTTTCCATGCTTATGATGCAACTTTTGAGCAGCTTCGAGATTAATGTACTTGCCTATTTTGGGATATTGATCTCTTTGCATATTTGCTTTCTCATGTCTTGTGGATACCTCTCCTGATTACCTTCAGAGCTTCAACACTAATACCCCTCAAGGGAGGTTCCTTGACGCTGGCGAGGGGCTCTTGATCTAGGGAATTGGATCTGTGCTCCAGTTCCCTGAATTGAACCTGAATACCTTCCATCCCCCCCTACATGTACTATAATCCTACGGGTTTAGCGCTCCCCCATGATTATAATAATTCAACTAATATTTAGTTGAATTATCATAAAGATATGCCGCTCTCTGCGCTATTCTAATTACGTGTATTAAGACACAAGGGGCGGATTATGGAATACAGGGATACCTTTCTCAGATCGCGCAGACATCACGGTACTGTACATCTATTTTTTTTTCTTAGGTTACAATGACACTATGAAAGATACATAGTGACGTACTTATGGGAAGAGTAGATGGTGATGTTGAGAAGATGTTTCTCAAGACTTCCCTCCTTCAGCGTGAGTAATATGGTGCTCATCCTGGTGGTGTCTGTTTCTGTTGTCCACTGGTAGTCCACCTCCAGCTCCTTCCTCCCACCATCCAAGTCCTCTAAAGAAATTCTTAGTGTTATTAACCAAAGAAAACTCAAGTGCGTCAAGGAGTTCCTCTTAGAGGAACTGGTTGGCATCACCATGCTTCCTTTCCTTTGAAATGCTCACTGCCCGAAACGATCATGCATGCTAGTGACTTTCTTTGTGTTTAATTAACAATGTTTTACTACATGTAAACTACACATTGTATATTATGCAAAGAAATTATTTTTTTAATTCTTATTTTGAATTTGAGGAAACTTCTTCTCATTCCACCTGCTACTACTCTTGCAACATTACAAAGCTCCTGATAATGCACGAAGACGTGTGAAAGATCTTGAGCCGAACATACCTCAAATTAAGTTGTGATAAACAACTGTCAGTGAATAAACAGAAGGGTGGAAAAGGGGATCGAACTGCGGTCCGTAAACTAACAGTCCAACGCTCTACCTTCTAAGCTAACCTGAGCTTCTAATAGGAGGGATCCAGAACTAATACTTACTGTATTATATTTTTCAGCCCAGGAGCTTCAGCTTTGCTTTCCAAGCAAAGAAACACTCAAAATTACTGACTGTGGAGATCTAAGACTTCTTAGTGCCTTCAAGCTTGATGTTGAGAAGGGGATGTTCCTGCACCAAGCACATCCATCTCATTAAAACTGTGAAGACAATGTACTTACAGATGAGACGTAAGTTACCCTTTCATATTGTTAATAAAATGGTTTACTATGTTAATTTTTATTTGTGAAATAAATACGCTTGTTTATAGTGTTAGGCTAGTAGCTTTGAATTTGCAGTATGTGTGTGGGGGGGGGGTGCTAGGGATGTTCGGCCTGGGAGACCATGGGGCGGCAGCCTAAAAGAATTTGGGAACCACTGCCCTAGAAAGTTGAGCCTCGCACTATCAATTTACGGACTACAGTTTGAGCCTCTCGTCCACCCTTCTATTTATTCGCTGTTAGATATAAAAGTTCAGTAGATGTGTACTTAAGAGTGGCATGAAGGTTTGCTTACCCGAACAAGTGCGATTTCCATGTAGGGTGAGCCTCCACCACCGGCTGCCACCATTGTCACTTCTGCTGCTGCTACTACTACTGTCACATCTGCCACCGCCCCAGCTCCTGCCATCTTTATTGCTACTACTTCTGTCACTGCTGCTGCTACCACTGCCGCTGCTACTACTGCTGCTACCACTATTGCCTAATATGCCACAGTCCCATTTCCCGCTGGCCTCACTATTGCCTCCAGCTTTGCCCCGGGTCCCCGAGGTCAAGGTGACGGTACAGCCAGACGAGATCAGCATGAAACTCTGTAGGTACACAGGAGTAAACACGTGTATCAGTAAGCAGGTGCACCAGGGTGAGTGTAGTGGGCACAGTGTCTGTATTGGTCACAAGGAAGTATGAAACATTTACCTGTTCTGCTCCGTCCCACACTACAAGGACCAGGTTCTTCTCTTTAGTAGTGTTGATAACGAGGTGCAAGTGTGAGTGAGTGAGGGAGTGTGCTGGAGCCATGGCCCAGACTCCCGTTAATGCCATCTCAGCTGCCTGTCCTACGTAGCTCAAGTTCACCTGGGCATTGCAGGCCACCATGCTTGTCTGACGTCAAAGCACTCGATATTAATACAATACAATAAAAACTAAATCACATTCCTCGTTTAACATCAGTCAACGTCCATTAAAAGTATTCTCTTTTCTGGAGTCAAATAATACTAGTTGCAAGCCAGATAAAAAAAGAAAATAATAAACCAAGTTAAAAAATAAATATAAAATAATAACACATGAAAAATACAAATCAAGAATTATTATTAAAATGTGTTTAAGGGTTTAACCTTCTTCGTGAATATATGAAGAACTGCAAAAAAATGTGCAACGAAACAGCAAATTTGAGCAGGATCTTGCCATTCCAAAGACCATAACGTCCTTAGGTAAAGTGACCTATGCTCACCTGGGTAGTGATAGTCAGTGTTGCAGATGCTGACGACGACCCCTCAGTTTGTCTCCTGAAAGATGAGGAGCTAGGTAAAGGAACGTAGTTACTGAGAGCTTCACGAGTATACGGGTCGGGTAAATACAGGGGTTGGGCACCTGCAGTGAAGGCCAAGTGCGTACAAGCGCTGGAAACTTCAGTTAGCAAGATGGCTATTGTGTTCACCTTCTGATGTATATCAGACAGCAGGTTATTGTGTTATTCCTTGAATGCTGCAACAAAGAGGAGGTTGGAGGAAGTAAAAAAAAATCGTATGTGGGATCAGTGTGTATGGTGAAAATTAGAGAATATCGAATGGAGAAATTAGAATTGTTTGGGTATATGATCGTTATATTTCAAATAGCAGAAAAGAAGTTGCTGAGATTGTCTGATTATGTAGAAAGATTTAAGAAAGAGTGGTTAAATAAGATGTATAAATCTGGAGTGGATGGAATGTTTCGAGGACGTCCGAGGAGGATGACCCAAAGTGAACAATACATTCGTCATCACTTGTGTCTCAGCTGTCTTTCTAGAAAGGCAAAGAAAACGAGGCAAAACAAAACAACCAGCACACCCCAACACTTCTCGCTTCAAAACTCAGTCTAGCTAACAGGTTAATCCTGAACCCCTTCATACATACTATCATGCTAACACTCCAACAGCGCCGCAAACGAAAAAAAAAAAAAGCCACTCCACTCCAGTTTAACATACATATGACTGACAGATGCTCAAGCCCTTCTTTCAGTCCGTCCCAGGGTGTCTCCTAAACCTCCTTTCGCCTACTTCAGATTTATACACCTTAATTAACATACCTTGTTCCATTTGCTCTACATAGCAACACTTTTCTGTAATGTCAGAGACCATAAAAATCCCAGAAGCTGATCCTCTTCCATTGTTATATGTCCACTTCTAGCTTTCCTTTCTGTCTTGATTGATCCTTACCTTTCTTAGTATATTACCAACTGCTCTAATCTTCGGAACACGTGAATTAACCTGGCTTTGGCTTTCACCTCTCCTCTTCACCTTGATGCAAAGGGCTCTTAATCCAAGAAATTGGATCCTTGGATCAAGCCTACCTGCTTGATTCAAGGATGCTGTATGACCCCCCTGCGGGTTTAGGGCTCCCCTCATGAATATAATAATAATTCACCTGATGTCTTCTAGCCTTCTCTCCTTTCTCTCTCTCATATATACATATATTATTGTAACCGCGAACAAGTGGTATTTAATCAATAACAAACTGCGGCTAGCCGGGGGATCGAACACCCTACCTGAAAATTCTAGAACTGCAGACACATTAATTGCTTTCAAAACTACCGTTAGAAATCATCTTATCTCCCTGATACATCCCACCGTCAGCTAACTACATGAAAACCACCTATTCTCTTGTATCATACACACATACAAAACAACCTAGGCCTCTCTAGATATCTGTGATTCCCCACAATTCACACTTACACTCACCCATCTGACTATAAACATAGAAATACGTAATACAACTATTACCTAACGAATCTTAACTAGTCATAAGTTTGGCTGTGATACTCCAATAAAGGAGCTTCAGTAGAAACTATGTATTGTACCAAAACAAAACCATTCACATTGCTAAATTTATGAACTGTAATGCAGTTACTTAGCCTTAATACCAATATGCTCCATAATATGTACCAATATTGAGTTTTGAATTAATCTTAGTCTGCCCGAAATGCCTAGTCACGCTAGGTGTGATAGTGTCCCTCTCTGTAATTAGTTTTATATAATATGTAAACCACACACTGTCCTATAATATTTAAACCCCACATAAAATTGATTTGATTTAGCCCGCCTCGTGGGAAGATTATTATTATTATAATCAAGGGGGAAGCGCTAAACCCGGAGGATTATACAGCGCCTGGGGGGGGGGGATGTGGAAGGCATTCAGGCTTAATTCGGGGAACTGGAGCACAGATCCAATTCCCTAAATCAAGAGCCCCTCACCAACATCAAGGAACTTTCCTTGAGGGGTCTCGTGGGAAGAGCGAAAATTCACGACGCCTTAAAACCACTGGACCATACAATATGGTTCAGTGGTTTAGGGCGTCGTGAATTTTCGCTCTTCCCACCAGGCGGGCTAAAACAACGCGGGTTCGATCCCTCGGCTAGCCGCAGTTTGTTGTTGATTAAATACAACTTGTTCGTGGTTACAATAATATATATATATATATTATGGATGGGTCTATGAAAGATGAGGTGAATCATAGAATTGATGAGGGAAAAAGAGTGAGTGGTGCACTTAGGAGTCTGTGGAGACAAAGAACTTTGTCCTTGGAGGCAAAGAGGGGAATGTATGAGAGTATAGTTTTACCAACGCTCTTATATGGGTGTGAAGCGTGGGTGATGAATGTTGCAGCGAGGAGAAGGCTGGAGGCAGTGGAGATGTCATGTCTGAGGGCAATGTGTGGTGTGAATATAATGCAGAGAATTCGTAGTTTGGAAGTTAGGAGGAGGTGCGGGATTACCAAAACTGTTGTCCAGAGGGCTGAGGAAGGGTTGTTGAGGTGGTTCGGACATGTAGAGAGAATGGAGCGAAACAGAATGACTTCAAGAGTGTATCAGTCTGTAGTGGAAGGAAGGCGGGGTAGGGGTCGGCCTAGGAAGGGTTGGAGGGAGGGGGTAAAGGAGGTTTTGTGTGCGAGGGGCTTGGACTTCCAGCAGGCATGCGTGAGCGTGTTTGATAGGAGTGAATGGAGACAAATGGTTTTTAATACTTGACGTGCTGTTGGAGTGTGAGCAAAGTAACATTTATGAAGGGATTCAGGGAAACCGGCAGGCCGGACTTGAGTCCTGGAGATGGGAAGTACAGTGCCTGCACTCTGAAGGAGGGGTGTTAATGTTGCAGTTTAAAAACTGTAGTGTAAAGCACCCTTCTGGCAAGACAGTGATGGAGTGAATGATGGTGAAAGTTTTTCTTTTTCGGGCCACCCTGCCTTGGTGGGAATCGGCCGGTGTGATAATAAAAAAAAAATAAAAATATATATGCATATGTTTATCACTGTATCGGTATATTTTATTTATTTCTACATGAAAGATTCCGTGGCTGGAAACTGTAGATGACGTTTCGGTCAACAGTTGTTTCTCCAGTGAAGGCTAGTTATGAATTATATACATACATGCATACAGTACCTTAGGAAAAGACGGGTGGCGTAACCTGATTCATCCCGACTATGCTCTGTCTGGAGGTGGTAGTGAGGAGTCGAGGATGTGGGAGTGTCGGCTTCTTGCGGGAGCAAACAAGCGGTTCGGGTTGGGGCTGCCAGCCCAAAATCAGCATTGAAACCATTTTGTGGGCGACAGGTGGTAGCAGAAGCGTGGACGTAGGGTGGCTGTGATTGTTCTATATGAGTTGGTGAGGACGTCGGCCACAGTGCAGCCAGTACTGCAAGAAAGGAAGTTGTGAAGTCTGAAGAGCATGTTGACCTGTAATATCACTTAGCGCTCTTTGCAATAAAAAGTAAATACGAACCTACACACAACCGCATTTTAGCGGCTTTCTTTGTGGTTGACAATATTTTATTACATGTAAACTACACACTGTACTGTACAAAGAAATAAATGATTTGATTTGATTTGAATAACCCACAAGAGTTAAAAAAAAAAAAAGCTAATGTCAAAAGACTAAAATATCCCAGAGGTTCCTACAGGCACCACGACTTTAAAAGATCAAAGCCGTGGGCAAGCAGTTACAATGTGTTCCACAGTCAACAGCATAAATGACAGAGATAGGCAAGCGCACCTGCAAGCAGGTAGTTATGGGTGAGATTTTGTGTGTGTGTGTGTGTGCAACCCTAATCTACAGAGAAGGAGCCAACTATGATGAGTCACATATGGTAGGAGTGACTGATCGAGGCTTATTAAACAGTCACCCATTTGACTGTCTTAGTCTTATATTAAGGGGATAAGCTGGCGACCAACGTGCATCATTTATTATTTCTGTAGACACTATGTTCACCCACCCACTATAAGGACTGGATGAATTATATTTAAGACACTTATTATAAGGTCTACAGGAACTATATTCACACCAGTGGGGGCGCCGGGAGGTGGCGTTAAGCCCCAAAAATTCCCACAACCCCCAAAGTAAAAAATGTAAGAATGATAACGCTATTTTAAAACACGTTTCTTAGCCCCACTTCCAACCAAATAATCAACCACTAACCCTAAGCCTTCCATCCATAGAAATTCTGGCGCCGCCCTTGGCTCACTCCTTATGAAGTCTAAAGCAATTACACTAACTCAGGAACTGTGCTCACACACTCTAAGTACTGGAACACAGTGTTCACATACTATAAAAGTCAGTATTGCGGTGGTGATAATGAGTGGTGGTTGTTCCTGGGGTGCTATGTGTGGGCTAGGAGTGGCGTGGTGGTAAGAGTAGACTGGTGGTGAGTGTGGCGTGGTGGTAAGAGTGGACTGGTGATGAGTGTGGCGTGGTGGTAAGAGTAGACTGATGGTGAGTGTTGCGTGGTGGTAAGAGTGGACTAGTGGTGAGTGTGGCGTGGTGTTAAGAGTGGACTAGTGGTGAGTGTGGCGTGGTGGTAAGAGTGGATTAGTGGTGAGTGTGGCGTGGTGGTAAGAGTGGACTAGTGGAGAGTGTGGCGTGGTGGTAAGAGTAGACTGGTGGTGAGTGTTGCGTGGTGGTAAGAGTGGACTAGTGGTGAGTGTGGCGTGGTGGTAAGAGTGGACTAGTGGTGAGTGTGGCGTGGTGGTAAGAGTGGACTAGTGGTGAGTGTGGCGTGGTGGTAAGAGTAGACTGCTGGCGAGTGTAGCGTGGTGGTGAATGTGAGTGGGGTGTTAGGAGTGAGTGTTGTGGTGATGGTGAGGTGGACTCGACGCAAGACGCTGGCATCCCACCTGCATATTAATGAAAACTACCTGGTTGCTGGTCTCGTGTGACTTCTCTCTCCCACCATCATCCCCAAGACCTAGTTCTGATTGTCTGTGTTAGAAACTCCAGTCCTAGTGGATGTCATATCCTATGTGATGAAGTACTCTAGTCAAGTGGGAGAAAATTTCAGACCTCAGTGCTTTGCCCTTCAAAAATGCATTTATATTGTATGGGAATTTTTTTTAATATTTTTTATTTTGATTTTGACCTGCTTTAAGTATTCAAGTGTTGGGTAAAAAAAAAAAGGTATGTGTACATACACAAAAAGCTTGCGTGTACGCATGTACTTAGCGCATGAGTTTATTTAAGCACAGGTACACAGAAGTACAATTATCATACACAGCGTAAATTACCTAGGATAATCCCCCCAAAAAAGTCAGTGACATATTTCCTGCAGCTGTAGGAACTGGGCACAGGGCAGACATACAGTAGCTCCGTTTGTGACGTGTGGCCGCCACGGCCTCATCGTCGCAGGTACAGTAGGTACCCTCATTACTATACTCCAAACATTACATCTCGACCATTTTCGTATAAACACTGCGCTGAGTGGCCCATACAGGTTTCGCGTTTTCTTGTGATACGTATCATCACTATCATATTATTAGCAGTAGTAGTATAATCATAACTGCGCGCTAAACTCATAAGGGTCATACAGCGCTGTAGTAGTAGTTATAGTATTTTCAATGGGATAACGTTAAAGACTTAGTCTACAGGAATTAAATGTAACCAGACAATAACACTTGGAGGAAATAAATGAAATATACTTACATAAGACGAGACGCATCTCCATCACTGATGTATCGCACACCGAGGAGTTTCACTATCCAGGTGGTGGTCCTGAGGAGTGTCCACGGAGAACTAACATGTGTCCAGGCCAACTTACCGAGTTCCTGGACTAGCACCCACTGCTGCCTCCCGAACACCCTCCTCCCCATCCCTCCAAACAAATATCTCTTCCCCTCCCTTGAAGGAATGTTCCTTAATCTTATCTTACGGCTTTTAATGAAAGACACTGTAACTACCCTCCCCTTCCATATATAAAACCTGATTATCTCCCATTATCCAGGGGGGTTTAGCGTTGTCCCATGAATACAATAACACCCCGTCCACACTCCCCCCATAAGCTTGCCTACCAACAGCACTCTGGATAAGATCTGAGGAACTGGAGGGGATGAGGAGGGAGCTTCTTCATCCCTGGATGTCATCATTATCTCTAGTGCTGCACTGAGACATGCACCATTATTTCCTAGTTAACTAGGATCTAACGTTCTGAACCAAGCACTCACTGCAATTATAGCGAACGCTAAGCACTCAAATCCTAGTTATGGAAGACATCACCGGAATACCTGAATACTTGCTAGACGGCAGTGATAAAGTGGGAGCCAAGTGGTCCTCCAAAGTTAGCTTTGGAAATACTAGGAATATGATATAAGGATAAAGCAATAAATGTCCCTAGAATTTTTGCTCTGTAAATTGTAATGGACTTAATGAGCACCTGTTTAAGTGTTGGTTAGGACTACCTAGGTCTCTCAAGGGAGGCTCCATGATGTCAGTGAGGTGTTCCTGATCCAAGGAATGGAAATTTTCCCCTTCAATCGAACCTGACTGCATGTCCCCTACAGGTTGAGCGCTTCCCCTAAATAATAATAATAATAATAATAATAATAATAATAATAATAATAATCACATCGACGAAAATCTTAAAATGAAGGGAACTGCCGATATACTTTCTAAATAATGCACAAACTTCCCAAAGTTCTTGTGTGTGTGTACTCTCCTATATATATATATATATATATATATATATATATATATATATATATATATATATATATATATATATATATATATATATATATATATATATATTCACTTCTAACACTCACGCACGCTTGCTGGAAGTCCAAGCCCCTCGCCCACAAAACCTCCTTTAACCCCTCCCTCCAACCTTTTCGGGGACGACCCCTACCCCACCTTCCTTCTCCAATAGATTTATAGGCTCTCCAAGTCATTCTTCTTTGTTCCATTCCCTCTAAATGACCAAATCACCTGAACAGCCCCTCTTCAGCCTTCTGACTAATGCTTTTAGTAACTCCACACCTCCTCCTAATTTCCACACTACGAATTCTCTGCATAATATCTGCACAACAAATTGCCTTAGACAGGACATCTCCACTGTCTCCAGCTGCCTCCTCGCTGCAGCATTTACAACCCAAGCTTCACACCCATATAAGAGTGTTGGTAACAATATACTCTTGTACATTCCCTTCTTTGCCTCCATGAATAACGTTCTTTGTCTCCAGAGATACCTTAACGCACCTTCATAAATTCTGTGGTTTACATCATCCTTCATACACCTATCCGCTGACAAGTCAACTCCCAAATATCTGAAAACATTCACTTCTTCCATACTCCCTCCCTCCAATGTGAAATCCAATTTTTCTTTACCTAAATCGTTTGATACCCTCATCACCTTACTCTTATCTATGTTCACTTTCAACTTTCTACCTTTACACACCCTCAAAATCTCGTCCACTAACCTTTGCAACTTTTCTTGAGAATCCCCCAAAAGCACAGCATCAAGAGCAAAAGATAACTGTGTCATTTCCCATTTTGTATTTGATTTCCCATAATTTAATCCCACCCCTCTCCCCAACACCCTAGCATTTACTTTTACAACCCCATCTATAAATATGTTAAACAACCATGGTGACATTACACATACTTGTCTAAGACCTACTTTTTCTGGGAAGTAATCTCCCTCTCTCCTACACACCCTAACCTGAGCCTCATTATCCTTATAAAAACTCTTCAGCATTTAGTAACTTACTACCTATTCCATATACTTGTAACATATGCCACATTGCTCCCTTATCAATCTATCATATGCCTTTTCTAAATCCATAACTGCAATGAAAACTTCCCTACCTTTATCTAAATACTTTTCACGTATATGCTTCAATGTAAACGCCTGATCTACACATCCCCTACCCATTCTAAAGCCTCCTTGCTCATCCACAATCCTGCTCTCTGTCTTACCTCTAATTCTTTCAATAATACCATACACTTTACCTGGTATACTCAGTAAATGTATTCCCCTATAATTTTTACAGTCTCTTTTGTCCCCCTTCCCTTTATATAAAGTACATAATTATACACGCTCTCTGCCAATCCCTACGTACCTTCCCCTCTTTCTTACATTTATTAAATAAAAAGTACCAACCACTCCAACACTATATCTACCCCTGCTTTTAACATTTCTGTCATAATCCCGTCAGTTCCATTATATTATTATTATAATCAAGGGGAAGCGCTAAACCCGGAGGATTATACAGCACCTGGGGGGATGTGGAAGGCATTCAGGCTTAATTTGGGGAACTGGAGCACAGATTCAATTCCCTAAATCAAGAGCCCCTCACCAACATCAAGGAACCTTCCTTGCGGGGCCGTCAGTTCCAGCTGCTTTACCCCCTTTCATTCTAGGTAATGCCTCACGCACCTTCCCCACACTCACATCTTGCTCGTTTTCACTCCTAAAAGATGTTATACCTCCTTGGCCAGTGCATGACATTACTACCTCCCTTTCTTCATCAACATTTCAAAGTTCCTCACAATAATACTTCTCCTTGTTGATTCGCTGGTATTCTCCCGGCCCGGGCCTTTTCCAAGTGGCGGCCCGGCCTTGGCTCCCTGTCTAGGGAGTGTCTGAGACCTAAGTCTCTCATGGGAGGAGGTACAAGTTCCCCCTCATCGTTGGAACCAATTGTCCCCAGGCCTAGCCACATTCCCCGCCCTCACGGGGCTCGTAGAGAGAAGCTAGGCCTCTGGTCTGCCATCCCCGCCTCAAGGGGGTTAATGGGAATGACAGTCTTGTGAGCCGCAAGCTCTGGCTCAAGCACCTACCCTGCCCTAGAAGGGCTGGGCATGCTGTCGATTCCTCACAATAATAATTTTTACATTAACATAAATAAAAACATATCTGTAAATGTGCGTATAAGAGAAAATTTTAGAAAGGACTTAATTTTAAATAAGTCTTTTCTATAATTTTCTCTTATAAATTTAATGATATATTTATTTCATTTATGTTAATGTAAAAATTAATAATTTTATACCAAAAGAACCTTAGAAAACTTATCTAACCTTATTATAACAAGCACAATTTAATTTAGCCTAATCCAACTCAATATATTTTAGATAGGTTTACAATAATTGAATAAACAAACACAATGAAATATATTTTTTTCTTAAGGTTCAGAATGATTTTTGCGAAATTATTGCATACGTAAGTTTTTGCTTGCGTTATTCGGCAAGAAGATTATTATTATTATAATCAAGGGGGAAGCGCTAAACCCGGAGGATTATACAGCGCCTGGGGGGGGAATGTGGAAGGCATTCAGGCTTAATTCGGGGAACTGGAGCACAGATCCAATTCCCTAAATCAAGAGCCCCTCACCAACATCAAGGAACCTTCCTTGAGGGGTCGGCAAGAAGAGCATTGCTAATTAAGCCAAAACTGCAAGTTTTACCTATTCGGCACGACATATATACGATAGTGGATAGGACTGCAAGGTGGCAGATGTTGCAAGTGTATAGAATAGGTAGTAAGTTACTAAATGCTGTCAAGTTTTTATGAGGATAGTGAGGCTCAGGTTTGGGTGTGTAGGAACGAGGGAGATTACCTCCTAGTAAAAGTAGGTCTTAGAGATGTGTAATGTCACCATGGTTGTTTAACATATTTATAGATGGGGGTTCTAAAAGAAATATCTGCTAGTGTTGGGGAGAGTGGTGGGATTAAATTGAGGAATCATTTACAAAATGCGAGTTGACACAGTTAGTTTTTGCTGATGATACTGTGCTTTTGGGAGAGTCTAAAGAAATGTTGCAAAGATAAGTGGACGAGTTTGGGAGCGTGTGTAAAGGAAGAAAGTTGAAAGAGAACATAGATAAGAGTAAGGTGATAAGGGTATCAAACGATTTAGATAAACAAAAACTGGATATCACATTGGAGGGAGTATGGAAGAAGTAAATGTGTTCAGATATTTAGGAGTTGACTTGTCAGTAGATGGGTTTATGAAGGACAAAGTTAACTGTAGAATTGAAGAAAAAAGGTGAATGATACTTTGAGGTATCTGTGGAGACAATAACGTTATCCATGGAGGCAAAGAAGGGAATGTACAGAAGTATAGTGGTACCAACACTCTTATGTGGGAGTGAAGTATGGGTTGTAAATGCTGCCACAAGGAGACGGATGGAGGCAGTGGAGATGTCGTGTCTAAGGGCAATGTGTGGAAATTAGGAGGAGGTGTGGAGTTACTAAAAGTATTAGTCAGAGGGCTAAAGAGTGGTTGTTGAGGTGGTTTGGTCATTTAGAGAGAATGGAACAAAGTAGAATGACTTGGAGAGCGTATAAATCTGTAGTGGAAGGAAGGTGGGGTAGGGGTTGTCCTAGGAAAGGTTGGAGGGAGTAAAGGCGGTTTTGTGGGCGAGGGGCTTGGACTTCTAGCAAGTGTGCGTGAGCGTGTTAGATAGGAGTGAATGGAGACGAATGGGTTTTGGGACCTGACGATCTGTTGGAGTGTGAGCAGGGTAATATTTTGTGAAGGAATTCAGGCAAACTGATTAGCCGGACTTGAGTCCTGGAAATGGGATGTACAATGCTTGCACTTTAAAGGAGGGGGTTTGGGATATTGGCAATTTGGAGGGATGTCTAAGCTGTCGTATCTGAGCGCCTCTGCAAAGACAGTGATTATGTATGAGTGTTGGTGAAAGTGCTGAATGATGAAAGTTTTTTTATTTCTTTCCGGGTTTTTCTTTCTTTTTTAGGTCACCCTGCCTCAGTGGGAAATGGCCGACATGTAAAAAAAAAAATTCTACATAATGTTCACACCACATATTGCTTTCAAACATGGCATCTCCACTGCCTCCAGCCTCTTCCTCAGTGCTGTATGACCTTTGTGGGTTTAGCGCTTGGTTATGATTATAATAATAATCCAGTCTTCTTGTGGCAATGTTTAAAGCCCCTTCCTCATATTCATATAATACCTCTACTCTGGTACATTCTTCCCCTTCTTGCCTCAATAGACAAATTTCTTTCTTTCCACATATGCTAAACACTCTGCCTACCTTTCCTGCTACCCCTATTCTTTTTTTTTTTAACACGTTGGCCATTTCCCACCAATCCAGGGTGACCCAACAAGAAAAGCCCAAAGAGAAAGAAGAAATCTTTCATCATTCAACACTTTCACCATCACCTATATATAATCACCATCTTTGCAGAGGCGCTCACATACGACAATTTAGATGTCCCTCCAAACTGACAATATCCCAAACCCCTCCTTTAAAGTGCAAGCATTGTACTTCCCATTTCCAGGACTCAAGTCCGGCTAACTGGTTTCCCTATTCTTGTCTATTATTATTACAATTAGAATTAAGCACTATCCTTTTCTAAGGTTCACCTCATCTTTTATATACCCATTTACTGACACACCTACTCCCAAATATGCGAACATATTCACTTGCCCTCTATCCCTTCCTTTCAGTCTGATATTCAGTCTTTCACTACCTAGACATTTGTTACTCATCTCCTTGCTTTTTGTATGTTCACTTGTGCTTGCCCTCCCAAATTTATCCATCACTCTTTTCTGCTTTTCTTGAGAATTTTCCAAGAGAAGTGTTATTGGCAAGCATACAACACAAATGAACAATGCAACCAGTTTCCATAAAGGGAGGAGAGGACCCATAAGAAACACATTTGCCATCACTTATTATATGTCTTTCCAGAAGTACATGGATATCATATTTCAAATAATACTACGAATTTCAACAGCCCCACTCTTCAAAGTGTATGCAATGTACTTCCCATTTCCAGAAGCATCAAGCTAATATATTCAAATGTACTATTTAGAATATCTAGTAAGTGATTATTATTATTATAATCATGGGGGAGCGCTAAACCAATAGTATTATACAGTGCCTGTGGGGATGTGGATGGAAGGTATTCAGACTCAATTCAGGGAACCAGAGCACAGATCCAATTACCTAGATCAACAGCCCCTCACCAGCATCAAGGAACCTCCCTTGAGGGGATAGTAAGTGATAATGGACCTTTATTATAATCAATTGGGAAGCGCTAAACCCGTAGGATAATACAGCACCTGTGGGGGGATGTGGAAGGTATTCAAACTTAATTCAGGGAACTGGAGCAAATTCAATTCCCTAGATCAAGAGCCTCTCACCAGCATCAAGGAACCTTCCTTTAGGGGGTGATAATGGAAACATTGATCAATTCCATATATTGAATTGAATGGATTATCCTTTAATGTCCCACACATGCAAGCACCTCGTATTACATTGTATTATTACTATTACATGCACGTGGTAGTGCTTATGTTATACTGCACAGTAGATTGATCCAGGTACTGTACATTATTTATGCCTGAGGCCACTTCACACATCCAGTTTTTCACTAACAAGCAGCCAGCCTGCCAAGGGACGTTCATTGCTTGAGAAATGGGAAGCAATTAGGGTTCAGTACAACTCCCTGAATGTTTTCATTGAAAAGGGCTGATATTCTCTTACTTTTCAATTTCATGGAGAGAGGGGAGGCTTGCTCAGAAATAAATGAAAGACATCTTTTTTTCTTTCAACACACCGGCTGTATCTCACCGAGGCTGGGCGGCCCAAAAGGAAAAACGAAGGTTTCTCCTTTTACATTTAGTAATATATACAGGAGAAGGGGTTACTAGCCCCTTGCTCCTGGCATTTTAGTCGCCTCTTATGACATGCATGGCTTACGGAGGAAGAATTCTGTTCCACTTCCCCATGGAGAAAATGAAAGAAATACCAAGGTAAAAAATATAATAAAAGAAATGCAATAAGGAAAGCAAATCTTGTACATTAAAATCTGTTGTGGCATTAATTATGATTAAGTACTGTACTGGACTTTAAGAAAACTGTCAACCATCATACCATCAATCACGGGTAATAAAATATCCAGCTATAAGATTTATTTATTATAGCAATTTTCACAAATACACATTATAAAAAATTAGTTGCAATAAAAATATAAGCAACTCAAATAACAGGTGGCTTCATATTTTTCAAACAAGATATATGAACAAAGACATGAAATGCATCGATGCATTACTGTTTCAATATATGCCCAAAACAAACTCCTGCAAAAGTTGTCGTCATATGCAAGGTATCCTGAAGTTTGTTTAGAGGTTTCTTCTGTTTGCCAAGCTGTGTGCTGAACCACATCACTCTCCATAGGTTAAGTTTACTGTTTATCTTGTAAAACCTACATTAAAAAAATGTTATGCAAAGACAGTTCCTGAAGTGTTCACAGTTCAAAAAAAAAAAATTATTGATTTGCAGGGCTTTACATTTCTTCATCTTCATCAGAAGAGTCCTCCTCCAAAGCAGCTTTGGCATATCGCTCTGCCTCCTTGTATACAGTTTCTGGAACAAGCTGATGAAGTCCTCCAGATTCTTCACAAACCCAAGAGAGTTCCATTTCAAAATGCCTGTCCTTCACTTCATCATGAACTAGATAAATGCTGAAAAATAAAACGGGTACAAATGAAGTATGCATATGTGAATAAGCTTTCTGTTAATAAGGTAATGGGTTTTTACTAATTCTAGATTACTTATTACATAAGTAATCTAAAATTAGATTTATAGTTAAGCCCAGGAAACACTGGTACTCATCTGAAAGTTGCAATAATAAAAGAAGTTAGAGCTATTTGGCACTTTCATTGTCTCCCATGTAGTTAGTTCAATGTTACTGATGACAGTGTTGTTCACATAGATCTATGTTTTAAGAACGACAACCTCAAATATGCTGCGAGTGGTAAATTTTGGCCTAGACATGAAAAAATAGGTGTGTGGTGAGTATGCACAACATATAAAAAAAGAAACAGCCCCATGTAATGCATAATAAGAAGAGTAAACCACTGACCTTATGATTTATTTAAAATGGCAACTTCAACATGTTTTCTAGGAGGATTTATAGGGTTTCACTGGCTTTTTCTTGGTATCAATTGATAGAATGAAAGACATGCTAGTGAAATAGAGATGATTTTGGTTGGTTTCAGATAGGAAGTAGCTTGAGAGAGTTCAAAGAGGTGAAAATATTAGGATTTTTGCAATTTTCCTAAGAAAGGGTAGGGGTCCCCTACCCCTACCTCCTTCACCCAGTCTGTTTTTTGGGTTTTTACTTGGTCAGCTAAATTTATTGGGATGGTCTAAATCATGACCATCATTCTTGGTTACATTTTATTAATCTGGGAAATATGGTAAAACTTCATGTTTTTTGTGAGATGATGTATTCAAAATGGAGGCCAAGTTTTATATATGAGAGACCTGGAGACACGATTAATGAACAGAGGAATGGTTGCTTTAGTGGATGGAATTCCTACAGTGTTTATTTTGTACTTTGTTTTTAAATTACCAACTTCTGTGCACTTTAAAGGGTAGATTTGATAGTTGAATGGAAAATTTAGAGTTAGCAGCAGGTACAAAGTTGGCAGTGTGGGCGCAATTTACACATCAGCATTTTCGCCCACTTTTCCACTCCTCAATTTGACCTAATTCTTAGCTAATTTGCTCATGTGCCTTTCTTACTATTGACTGATCACTACGGCTTCATCAGTCCCAGATGTCTGATATCCTAAACTGTGCATGTGTCCTTTTCCTCAGCATTTTTATTTTTGGGGACTGCAACAGTAAAAGGGGTTAAAAGTATCATAAGTTGTAGATGAGAGGAAACTTAAAGCACTGTTTTAACCAAGGTTTCAATCACCAGCTTTATGAAAATTCATAAGTTTTCAATAGTATGGGCATGTACCAACCAAGCTGCTAGACTTCAGATGCATAAAAACATAAGAAAGGAGGAACACTGCAGCAGGCCTGTTGGCCCATACTAGGCAGGTCCTTTACAATTCATCCCACTAACAAAACATTTGACCAACCCAATTTTCAATGCTACCCAAGAAATAAGCTCTGATGTGCAAGTCCCACTCAAATCCAACCCCTCCCACTCATGTACTTATCCAACCTAAATTTGAAACTACCCAAAGTCCTAGCCTCAATAACCCAACTAGGTAGACTGTTCCACTCATCAACTACCCTATTTCCAAACCAATACTTTCCTGTGTCCTTTCTAAATCTAAACTTATCTAATTTAAATCCATTACTGCGAGTTCTCTCTTGGAGAGATATCCTCAAGACCTCATTAATATCCCCTTTATTAATACCTATCTTCCACTTATACACTTCGATCAGGTCTCCCCTCATTCTTCCTCTAACAAGTCAATGTAACTTAAGAGTCTTCAATCTTTCTTCATAAGGAAGATTTCTAATGCTATGTATTAATTTAGTCATCCTACGCTGAATGTTTGCTAACGAATTTATGTCTATTCTGTAATATGGAGACCAGAATTGAGCTGCATAATCTAGGTGAGGCCTTACTAATGATGTATAAAGCTGCAGTATGACCTCTGGACTTCTGTTGCTTACACTTTTTGATATAAATCCCAGTAATCAATTTGCCTTATTACGTATGCTTAGGCATTGCTGTCTTGGTTTAAGGTTGCTGCTCACCATAACCCCCAAGTCCTTTTTGCAATCTGTATGGCTAAGCTCTACATCATTTAACTTATAAGTGCTAGGGTTATGGACACTCCCGAGCTTCAGAACCTTGCATTTATCTACATTGAACTGCATCTGCCACTTTTCTGACCAAGAATATAGTTTGTTTAAATCCTCCTGAAGTTCCCTAATGTCTACATTTGAATCAATTATCCTACCTATCTTTGTGTCATCAGCAAATTTGCTCATATCACTAGTAATTCCCTCATCAAGGTCATTGATATATATTATAAACAACAACGGGCCCAAGACTGATCCCTGTGGAACACCACTTGTTACTGATCCCCACTCGGATTTAACCCCATTTATGGACACTCTCTGCTTCCTGTCTGTGAGCCATGACTCGATCCATGAGAGCACTTTTCCCCCAATGCCATGAGCTGCCACTTTCTTTAATAGTCTTTGGTGCGGAACTCTATCAAAAGCCTTACTAAAATCTAAGTAAATAATATCAAACTCTTTATCGTGGTCAACAGCCTCAAAAGCTTTACTGAAGAAAGTTAATATATTAGTTAGACAAGACCGGCCTCTTGTGAATCCATGCTGAGTATCATTAATCAAGCTATGCTTATCGAGATGGCTTCTTATAATCTCAGCTATAATTGACTAGTAATTTGCCTACAATTGAGGTCAGGCTTATTGGGCGGTAATTTGACGGTAACAACTTGTCCCGTTTTAAAAATAGGAATTACATTAGCCATCTTCCACATATCAGACACTACACCTGTTTGAAGAGATAAATTAAAAATATTAGTTAATGGTTCACAGAGTTCCATTTTGCATTCCTTAAGAACTCTTGAAAAAACCTCATCAGGACCCAGCAACTTATTTTGCTTCAGTCTGTCTATCTGCTTCACAACCATTTCACTAGTGACTGTGATGTTACATAATTTATCTTCTTCTAGCCCACTATAAAAATTAATTACTGGAATATTGTCAGTGTCTTCCTGTGTAAAAACCGAGAGAAAATAATTATTTAAAATCGAGCACATTTCATTCTCTTTGTCAGTAAGATGCCCATAGTTATTTTTAAGGGGACCTATCTTATCTCTAACTTTTGTTCTATATCTCTAACTTTTGTTCATATTTAAAATCCAAAGCTAAACTGAATATATCTTTTCAGGCACATTAGATTATGTGCCTGAAAAATTGACTTCCTAATTTGTTAGGAAACTAAGCTCATAGCTTAAAGAGTGAAGATTAAATTAAGGATATTTTTATTTACTTCATGAAAAACAATGACTCGAGATAGTCTGTGTATTTACTGAATTTAGGGACTCCCAGCAATATTTAATTAGTTAATAATTTCTTATAAATGGACAGAAAAAGGTGGAGAAGATGACAGAGAAAGTGTGGGGTTTTGCATTTCCAAGAGCAATAATTGTAAGCTAATGTGTTCATACTGCAAATTCTACAGCAAATTTTCAGTGAAATATCTCATTCATCAATAGTTAATATCAAACCTGCTCTTCATGATGGTAGGATTGCTGGTGTCCTTTCTTCTGTCTCATAAACATGCAAGATTTCAGGTACGTCTTCCTACTTCTACTTACACTTAGGTCACACTACACATACATGTACAAGCATATATATATACATACACCCCTCTGGGTTTTCTGCTATTTTCTTTCTAGTTCTTGTTCTTGTTTATTTCCTCTTATCTCCATGGAGAAGTGGAACAGAATTCTTCCTCTGTAAGACATGCGTGTTGTAAGAGGCGACTAAAATGCAGGGAGCAAGGGGCTAGTAACCCCTTATCCTGTATAAATTACTAAATTTAAAAAGAGAAACTTTTGTGTTCCTTTTTGGGCCACCCTGCCTCGGTGGGATACGGCCGGTTTTGTTGAAAGAAGAAGAATCCTAGGTAGTAGGTTGGTAGACAGCAACTGCCCAGGAAGCTACTACTGTCCTGCCAAGTGAGTGTAAAATGGAAGCCTGTAATTGCTTTACATGATGGTAGGATTTCTGGTGTCTTTTCTGTCTCATAAACAGCAAGATTTCAGGTATGTTTTGCTACTTCTACTTACACTTAGGTCACACTGCACATGCATAGACAAGCATATATATACACATGCCCATCTGGGCTTTCTTCTATTTCCTTACTAGTTCCTGTTCTTGTTTATTTCCTCTTTTCTCCATGGGGAAGTGGAACAGAAGTCTTCCTCCATGAGCCATGTGTGTCATAAGAAGCGACTAAAATGCCAGGAGCAAGGGGCTAGTAGCCCCTTCTCCTGTATGTATTACTAAATTTAAAAGGAGAAACTTTTGTTTTTCTTTTTGGGCCACCCTGCCTCGGTGGGATATGGTCGGTTTGTTGATAGTAGTAGTATTTAATGAGGCTTATTAATTCAAGGATCTGAGTGAATCAGCTACATTATAATCTCTACTTGTACTGCTCAGTACAATATAGTACAGTACAGTACTACAAGTACAGCATTTAGCTGATAACTATTAATAGAAGTGCTGTAGCATAGCATTAAAGGATTATTGTTATTAATAATAATAACAGTCATTGTATAACCTGTATTATTTTTATTTCTCGAAGGAAGACTGCACCCTCACTGCCTGTAATATTGCTATGAGCTCAATATCCCCAACAATAAAGGAAAATTTAAAAATTATTCAGGCAAATCATTAATTACACAAAAATTACTCAGAGTTACACAATAAAATGAAGAAATTGTACTCACACAAGAAAAGGATAAACCACACAAGAAAGCAATCAAAATTGCTGTACATAACTATAAATAAAATGTCTACTTAGAAAGAGTAATAGCAGAGAAGAGAAAGTTCAACTAGACATAGCAGATCAACATAAAGGAAATATATGGATGCTTTAAATAAAGTGAAGAGACCACTGAGATGATTTGCATTGCAGCATCAAACCATTTATAATTAAATCAATTATATCATTAAATAGGAAACTTAATTCTCCCACATTGCAGCAGATTAATTTATGACCAAAACATTGAAAGGTATTGATTCTTAACTATTATGCAATCTACCTGCCAAATAATACCAGTCAGTGGCATGAGATTGTTTGTTTTTACTTAGGCCATGTTGCAAAGTTCTGTGGAGAAAATTATTTCTCCGACCCAGGGACAGTGACTTCCCCGTGGGAAAAGTGATGCCAATATTTTCCCACTTTCTGAAATGAAAAGGGTTATGGCCTGCATTCTTTGCACTACCAGAGACTTTAATTAACGGAGCCAGAATGCCCATTTGTCTCAACAAATGTGTCTGATCCAGTAATATCAGACATCCCTTTAATGAGATTAAAGATTCATAATAGGCCTTAGATAAGGACGTGTGATGTCACCATGTTGTTCAATATATTTATAGATGGGGTTGTAAGAGAAGTGAATGCTCAGGTGTTGGCAAGAGGTGTGGGGTTAAAAGATAAAGAATCTAACAAAGTGGGAGTTGTCACAGTTGCTTTTTGCTGATGACACTCTGATTTTGAGAGATTCTGAAGAGAAGTTACAGAGGTTGGTGGATGAGTTTGGTAAGGTATGCAAAAGAAAAAAATTGAAAGTGAATATAGGAAAGAGTGAGGTGATGAGGATAACAAAAAAATTAGGTAATGAAAGACTGGATATCAGATTGGAGGGAGAGAGTATGGAGGAGGTGAATGTATTCAGATATTTAGGAGTGGACGTGTCAGCAGATGGTTCTATGAAAGATGAGGTGAATCACAGAACTGATGAGGGGAAAAAGGTGAGTGGTGCACTTAGGAGTCTGTGGAGACAAAGAAATTTGACCATGGAAACAAAGAGGGGAATGTGTGAGAGTATAGTTATACCAACACTTTTATATGGGTGTGAAGCATAGGTGGTGAATGCTGCAGTGAAGAGAAGGCTGGAGGCAGTGGAGATGTCATGTCTGAGGGCAATGTGTGGTGTGAATATAATGCAAAGAATTCGTAGTTTGGAAATTAGGAGGTGCAGGATTACTAAAACTATTATCCAGAGGGCTGAGGAGGGGTTGTTGAGGTGGTTCGGACATGTAGAGGATGGAACAAATAGAATGACTTCGAGAGTGTATAAATCTGTAGTGGAGGGAAGGCAAGGTAGGGGTTATCCTAGGAAAGGTTGGGAGGGAGGGGGTAGAGGAGGTTTAGTGCAAGAGGGGCTTGGACTTCCAGCAAGCATGCGTGAGCGTGTTAGATAGGAGCAAATGGTTTTTAGGACTTGATGTGCTGTTGGAGTGTGAGCAGGGTAACATCTATGAAGGGATTCAGGGAAAACGGAAGACCAGACTTGAGTCCTGGAGATTGGAAGTACAGTGCCTGCACTCTGAAGGAGGGGTGTTAATGTTGCAGTTTCATAACTATAGTGTAAGCTTGCCTCTGGTAAGACAATGATGGAGTGAACGATGGTGAAAGTTTTTCTTTTTCGGGCCACCCTACCTTGGTGGGAGATGGTTGATGTGTTAATAAAAAAAAAAAGAAGAAAAACTTGAACCTTAGTATAAAGCACCTTTTTCTTGCATTTGGATTAAGGTTTAAAAATGCAACTCTCTTTTTTCATGCAGTACATAAAAATATTAGTACATACATATATTCAAATTTTACATAAATAAGAAAGAGGATACTTAAACTTACTGTTTTTATGTCTGCCATTTATATCAAACATCAAACTGTTACTTACATCTTTGCAGCTTCTTTGACAAGTTCTCGGCATGTGAGATCTTTTAACTTTAATTTCTCAATTTCAGTTTTTGCATTTTGTTTTGCTTTACCCACTGCACAACCAAAGTAGCCCTGTAAATATAAATAATTTATGTAAAGTAACATATGTCAACCTGTTTATCAAGCTACATTTAATTGTACTTGTTTACATTATTTTTATAGTTTATCATGTGCTCTCACAGTAATGGTAAATGCAAACTCTTTCTTAAATAAAGCAACTGATTATCTCTTCACTGACAGTGGTTGGAAACTATTTTTACTGTCACAAAGTAAAATCTTTCTTGCAAACACAATAAAATCAACCCAAGTAAGCACCTAATCACCTCTCACTGGTTGTTAGAATAGCTATTCAGATAATCAGAATGCTTTCATATTAATCAAGGCAGGAAATTTTCTTTCTACAGATTACAGTGTACTGATAATGAAATAGAGAGCAATCATTTTGAAAAAGGAATAACACTGATATATATGACTTGTACTTTTAAATTTAAACTAAATCCAGTGACAATAAAGCTCATTTCACTTACGAAATGTTAAGAGAAAACTGAAAAATTTAATCCTAAATCCTTTCAATCAAATGTATAAAATATGGTCCAGTAGCATCAGTGCAGATCAGGATATATACAAATCAACTGTTTTTACAAATGGGTTTAAACTTGTACTATATACAGTAAAAGTGGTTTAAATGCTTTTAATATTTTCTTTATTTCTCCAAAACTTAAAATGTAAAGGAATTATTTTAAAAAAGAATTCCATTACATATTAAGTTAAAAAGACACAAACTAAGACCATGAAATCAATACATTCTTTTAACCTAAAATTTATGTGTATCTTGTCACTTATCCTATGTTGCATACAGGTATATATAAAAATAAGGAGAAGGAAGGTGGGGTAGGGGTCGTCCTCGAAAAGGTTGGAAGGAAGGGGTAAGGGAGGTTTTGTGGGCGAGGGGGCTTGGACTTCCAGCAGGCGTGCATGAGCGTGTTCGATAGGAGTGAACGAAGACGAATGGTATTTGGGACTTGACGATCTGTTGGAGTGTGAGCAGGGTAATATTTAGTGAAGGGATTCAGGGAAACCAGTTATTTTTATATAGCCGGACTTGAGTCCTGGAAATGGGAAGTACAATGCCTGCACTTTAAAGGAGGGGTTCGGGATATTAGCAGTTTGGAGGGATATGTTGTGTATCTTTATACGTATATGCTTCTAAACTGTTGTGTTCTGAGCACCTCTGCAAAAACAGTGATTATGTGTGGGTGAGGTGAAAGTGTTGGATGATGATGAAAGTATTTTCTTTTTGGGGATTTTCTTAGTTTTTGGGTCACCCTGCCTCGGTGGGAGACGGCAGACTTGTTGGAAAAAAAAAAAAAAATTATGGCATAATTTATTTAGACTATTATAGAAAAAGAAACTTACATTACACATGCCTGATGGATCAATGAGGTAAAGCTGGGGGCCATCATGATCAAATGCTCCAATCATGACAGAGCAGCCATAAGGTCGCACTGCAGAGTACAGAGTATATGCATGGAGGTAGGTACTAACACGTTCGGCTAGGAGCTGTAGGTAAAAAAAAGAGTACAAAGAATAATTACTGTAGTACATTTAATATTTTGACAATACTGTTTAACTTCCCTAATATCATGCTGAGGTAAGCAACTTAAAGTCAGATCAGATGCCATCAGGACAGGTCAGATGCCATCTGGTCAGGTGAGGTCGGCTGGTAAAATGTATTAAAAAAGTTTTTGCTGAAAGTGTCTTTTACCACCATCTGTTGGCTCATAACTACAGTATAGTCAGCTCTTTCATTAAGCTCCTCTATATAGTACAAGGGTTTGGAGAGGTAAATAAAACGTTAATTAGCATGCAGTATGAAAGCCTCTGCAAGTACTATTCAATTTTGGATATACTTTTCCCACCACATTTATGAAAAAGTGAACTATATAGAGGAGCCTTACAAGAGTGCTGTGTATGTAAACTAATATCATAATTTTATAATTTTAAAATTCCTGTTTTGTACTGTATACAGTAAGTACTAGCCAAAAGCTATTTTATATAGACCTTAAAATTCCATTACTATGCTCCACTACATTACTGAGAGCTGACAAACAACAAAAATAAGTGCCGATACTACAATCACAAATACAATCAAACGTGCTAACTCAGACATGACACCTATCGAATGAATGATAGCGAATGTTTTTCCTTTTTTAGGTCACCTTACCTCAGTGGGAGATGGCTGGTGAAGAAAGAAAAGGCTTATAGGGTGTATTCAACACCCTATAAGGTTTTTCTGATGACACATTTTTCATTATTAATCTTATGATGACACATTTTTCAGTATTTAATAGCTTGAGAAATACTGTATATATATGAATTACTGGTGCCCAAAGCCACTATTCTGAACACATCGCCCACATAAAATGAAAATTGGGCTGCATTTACCTTGCAAGGAATAGGCATCCCATATTCAGCTCTGTAGTTTGATGCTTCAATTCTTGCAACATCCACAATTGCACGTGCATCTGCTAATAGTCCAGCACAAGCCTGAAAAAAGTAAATATACTTTACAAGTACTATACAGTAATTAAAGAATCAAAAAGTACTACTACATTATACAGTAATCACCAATTTACAACAACTTAGTAATAAACTTTTGATATATGTAATGCTATTTGCAATTCATATAGTCGGACTTGAGTCCTGGAAATGGGAAGTACAATGCCTGCACTTTAAAGGAGGGGTTTGGGATATTGGCAGTTTGGAGGGATATGTTGTGTATCTCTATACGTATATGCTTCTAAGCTGTTATATTCTGAGCACCTCTGCAAAAGCAGTGATAATGTGTGAGTGTGGTGAAAGTGTTGAATGATGATGAAAGTATTTTCTTTTTGGGGATTTTCTTTCTTTTTTTTGGGTCACCCTGCCTCGGTGGGAGACGACCGACTTGTTAAAAAAAAAAAAAAAAAAAAAAATTGCAATTCAGTAGTGTAAAGTCATTTGAGGGTAAATAGTTATTTAAATTTACAAATGTTTTACAATACAATAAACATTCTTATAACATGTCTTCATGTTGTGCAATTTTCTTGCAATGTGATTAAAAAAAAGTGCAACCAAACTATGAAACAGCATGTTAATATCAAGGTATATTGGACATTTTCATCATTATCTGGTCTCTGGATGTTAACCATGGCACCCAAGAATACTAGTGATGCTGGAAGTGATAAGAAAGACCATTATTCAATGACTGTTGAAAAATGAGTTAGATATGCTTACAGGTGGTGGAAGTACAACTTTTTACAGATGAGTCTCCCACTTGCATTTGTGGTCACAGTGGGGCCCATGATAACTTCCCTATTATGTATAAAAATATACAGTATCTAGTTTGATGAATCTTACTGTGGCCAGCTGACTGAGTGACTTATGCACTGGGCTGGAGTTCTAGAACTAACATGCCATGGGTTTAAACCCCACCTGTTATGTGGCTTGTTTGCAATCATTGTTATTAGAATTGTGTTAGTCCATATATAAATTCCAGCTCTACAATCATGAGTATACACCATTTCTGCAATCAGCACATACATCAGTTCCACAATCAACAGCACATATACTAGTCCCTTAATCACAATTTGGAGCATACACACCACTTTTATACCTAAAATTATTTGCATTTTCCTATATTAATAAAAGTTAAAAATGCAAAATGGCCCTCATACTGCAGTATCTTTCATAATACAGTACTGTATTATACACTTAATAAGCTGCATTTTAAAGAACAGCATAAAGCTAAAGGATCAATTAAACCAGCTTAAAACATGGTTGTCAAAAATATTTCTTAACAAAAATGTGCACTATATAGAGAAAATCTTTTTAAAAAAGGAATACATACAAATTTATTCCTCATATAAATGATATATCCAACTTAATAATATTACCACAGCTTGCAAATTTATTTTACATGTAGAGTAATGAAACAATCGCTGAACTCATCTCGCTCATACAATGATTACTTAATTAAGTAATTTTACTCTATTCCTTACTTTCCTTAACTTACAAAAGAACATAACTTACCATGCCAGCATGTGTGTCAACGGTAAATATGCGCTTGTTAGCTCCATGTTCATACAGCTTAGATGAGATAATTTTCTCTACTGCAAATACCACTCCATCCTTGCATCTAAGACCAATAGCTGTCCTGAGGAGAGAACAAGAATTACAATTCATATACATGTAATGTACATAGCTGAGAAATGGAGAGACATAAATTACTGTACTACAAATGCATACCAATTCAATTCACAGGCAAGTGCAGTACAGAGATGCCTCACAATATTGGGTAAAAATAAAACGAAAAAGTAGGGGGGGAGGGGGACAAACAACTTTGCAAATTATTCCAGTGAACCCTTTCCTATGGATAAAGATTTGTTCCCATAGGAAAATATTCAGCCCACAAATACATAACAAAAGCTCTAGGTCTACTTTACATAAAGATAGTCATTGCTTCAAGTTCATGAACTTCCTTCTTAGTGGAATTTGATTACCCAATGTTTTTACCGACAGGCAATCTACAAATACGTTAGATTATCCACTGATTTTGTAGGCACGGAATGAAAATCTAAAGGAAATTAAAATTCTATCTTGAATTTCATCATAATCTATCTACAGTGCAGTATTATGCAAAGTTCAGTGTACATTTATGCTCATTTCAAATACATAATATGAAAAGTGTGTTACTGTTGATGTTGTGTTGTGTTACTGCTGTTGCTGCCTCCATGTTTGCACAAAAATTGTTCAAGAAAAAGGGAATAGGCATATATTATATTGATGTAAAAGTTCCCATAAGAATAATTTGGAAACTTCAAAACATAGAAATAAAAGGCAAACCAATACAATGAACATGAGACATTCTATTTGAGAAAAAATGTAGTGATATGAGAAAAAGTGTTCTGTTGGGGAAATGTCACCAGTGGGAGTTCCAAAATCATCTGTATGTGCCCCAATTTTTTAAATATATTTTATATAAAATGGCATACATATAGGAATAGAAACTATAAATTTGGTTGCTTGTTGAAGATATAAATCTCTTGCGATAAATAATAAAAATTACTGCAAATCTTTAAAGATGACTTGGATATATCGACACAATGGAATGAAGGATGGATGACGAAATTTAATGTTGATAAATGCCATGCACCCAGGTAGTAGGTTGGTAAGAGCAACCACCCGGGAGGTTTTTTTTTTTTTTTAAAAAAAAAAAAATTTGGTTTTTTAAAAAATTTTTTGTTGGTTTTTTGGGGTTTTTATTTTTAATTTTTTTTTTTTTTTTTTTTGGGGGGAAAAAAAAATTTTTAAATTTTTTGGGTTTAAATTATTTTTGTTTTTTTTTTGGGGGGTTTTTTTTAAAATTTTAAAAAGGGTAGGGGGGGGGGTTTTTTTTTTGGGGGGGTTTTTTTTTTTGGGGGTTTTTTTTTAAAAAAGTTTGGGTTTTAAATTGTTTTAAAAAATTTAAAAAAATTTAAATTTTTTTTTTAAAAAAAATTGGGTTTTTTTGGGGGAAAAGTTTTTTAAAATTTATTTAAAAATTTTTTTTAAATAAATTATGGGTTTTTTTTTTTTTTTGGTTTTTGGTTTTTTTTTTTTTTAAAAATTTTTTGGGGGGGGTTTTAAATGGGGGGTTTAAAATTTTGGTTAAAGGGTTTGGGGGAAAATTTTTGGGGGGAATTAAATTTTAAAAAAAAGGGAAATGGTGTTTTTTTGGGGGGGGAAAATTTTTTTTTTTTTTTTTTTGGGGAAAATTGGTAGTTTTTTTTTTAAAAAATTTTTGGGGATTTTAAATTTTTTTAAATTTTTTTTTTTTTGGGGTTTGGGGGGAAGGTGAAAATTTTTTAAAATTTTTTTGGAAAAAAATTTGGGGGGTTTTTTTTTTTTTTAAAATTTTTAAATTTTTTTTTTTTTTTTTTTTTTTTTAAACTTTATTTTATTTTTAAAAAAAAAATTTTTTATTTTATTATTTTTTTATTTTTTAAATTTTTATTTTTTTTTTTAAAAAAATTTTTTTTTAATTTTTTTTTTTTTTTTTAAAAAAAATTTTTTTTTTTTTTATTTTTTTATTTTTTTTTTTAAATTTTTTTTAAAAAAAAAAAAAATTTTTAAAATTTTTTTTTTTATTTTTTTTTTTTATTTTTTTTTTTTTTTTTTTTTAAAAAAAAAAAATTTTTTTCCTTTTCTTTTTTTTTTTTAAAAAAAATTTTTTTTTTTTTTTTAAATTTTTTTTTTTTTTTATTTAAATTTTTTTTTTTAAAAATTAAAAATTTTTAAATTTTTTTTTTTAAATTTTTTTTTTTAAAAAAATTTTTATTTATTTTTTTTAAATTTTTAAAAAAAAAAATTTTTTTAAATTTTTTTTAAATTTTTTTTTTAAAAATTATTTTTATTTTTTTTTAAAATTTTTAAATTTTTTTTTAAAATTATTTTTTTTTTAAATTTTTTTTTTTAAAAATTTTTTTTTTAAAATTTTTTTTTAAATTTTTTTTTTTTTAAAAAAATTTAAAAATTTTTTTTTTAATTTTTTATTTTTTATTTTTTTTTTTTTTATTCTTAAAAAATTTTTAATTTTTTTTTTTTTATTTTTTTTTATTTTTTTAAAATTTTTTTTAATTTTTTTTTTATTTTTTTTAAAAAAATTTTTTTTTTTTTTTAAAAAAAAATTTTTTTTTTTTTTTTTTTTTTTTTTAAAAAAAATTTTTTTTTTTTTAATTTTAAAAATTATAAAATTTTTAAATATTAAAATTTTTTAAAAAATTTAAATTTATTATATTATATTTTAATATTTTAAAAATAAAAAAAAAAATTTTTATTTAATATTATAATAATTAAAAATATTTTAATTATATTAATATTTTTTTTAAAAAAAAAATTTTATTTTAAAAAAAATATATATATTTTTAAAAAAAATATATTAATAACATTTTAAAAAAAAATTTTATATTATATATTTTTTTTAAAAATATAAAAAATAAAAAAAATTTAAAAAAAAATTATATTAATATATATATAATTTTAAAAAAATTTATATAAATTTTAAATTTTTTTAAAATTTATAATATAATTATATAAAAAAAAAAAATTTTATAAAAAAAAAAATATTTAAATAAATTTTAAAATAAAAAAATAATAAAAAATTATATATAATAATAATAAAAAAATTTTATACATATATAAATAAAAATTATATAATATATATTTAAAATTTTTTTAAAAACATATTATTATAATTTTTATATATATAAATTATATAAAAACAATATATATAATAAAAAATATATATATTTTAAAAAAAAATTTAAAATTATATAAATATTTTATATATAAAAAAAAATTTTAAATATTATAATAATATATATAAAATATATTAAATATATATAAAAATATATTTTTTAAAAAAATTATAAAAAATATTTTTAAAAAAAAAAATTTTTTTTTAAATAAAAAAATATATAAAAATTTTAAAATTTTAAAAAAAATTATAAAAATTTTAAAATTTATTTTAAAAAAATTTTTAAAAAATTTTAAAAAAATTTTTTTTTAAAAAAATATAATATATAAAAAATTAAAATTTAAAAAAAATTATATTT